GAATTTCTTGTCTCCTAGGAACCAATAAAATAAAAATAAAATCTGGCCACCTCGCCGTGGGCGTGCGCCGGGCGGGCAGCGTGACGTGGGGTTGCCCAAGGTCTCCGAGGACCGCTGGGAGCACCTACAGCTGCCTCGGGATGCTTCCCTCCTCTTCCTCGTGGCGCCGGCTGGCGCTGAGCCTCTTCTGATGGCCCAAGAGCTGCAGCAGGAGCCACGTCCTAGGACACTTGTGCTCTCTGCTGCCTTTTTCTGGTTTGAACTCTCCTGGTGCATGGACTGAAAATGCTCTGGAGTTCAACTTTGGAGGCTCTTTCCCCAGCGGGGTCGTGTTTGTGTTTCCTCGTGTCATTTTGCACAGCAGGAGTGCAGGCTCAGGGTGTGGAAATGCTGGTTTTCCCATCCGAGACGGGAGTTCAAGATGGGGAAATGCCTTTTAATTTGTAGCAATTGCGTGGCCGTTACTAACAAGAGGTGGAGATCCTACAGTGCGAACATCAGAGGAATCCGGCATTATTTGGTACATCACATCAAATTCTACAACTTGACATTTAAGAAAGGCTCAAGAGAAAGTAAAAGCTTTTTTTTTTTTTTCCTTCTTTTCCCTGGCTTCTGAGGATCTTTATTTATCGCCCTCAGAGGCATTACAGTGAGTAATTAGATTGGACCGGGAGAACGACTTAATTTTACAAGAAACTCATTAATTCATCCTATTTAAAATCTTCTCATTTCACCCCAAACCCAATTATGCTCGTCGTGGCAATGATCTGGAAAGGCATTGTCTCGGAGGAATTAGAGGGGCCACTGGGACTCCTGCAGTATTCTTGTCGGGGAGACAAGGGTGATTCCTTTTCTTTGACTTTTAGGTCAAAAGAACTAGTCGCTGGGACAGCTTGACAATTAGAAAACCCTGATGAGCATTGGGAAGGAAAACAGCTGTACAATAACGGAGGGGTTCATGGTGCGGGGCAGAAAGCTCATCAGAAGAGACTATCCAAACAATGGAGTTCTATAATTAACACACAAAAATCTGTTCAGAAATGGTAATAACAGTAAAAAAGGGCTGAGAAGATGCTGCCTGCTCCGGTGGCAGATGTGGTTTTGTTACGAGGCGGGAGAGAAAATCCATCCTCTTAAAGGATAAGAACAACATTAGCGGGGGGGGAGAATAAAAGTAATGTTTTGTTCCTAAGGGTGCAGTTAAAACACGAGCTTAAAATATTTCCAGAGAGAAAAGAGCTGCAGAAAAAGTAACCAGTGACAAAAGACATGAAATAGGCTATTAAAGTATTTTTTCAAGTCTTTAAACACAAATTTCTCACTGACATTTATAAGTCTGACACTGAAATATCTTTTCTTACATTATTTGCTCTGTCCTTCATTTCACCAAGAATACTATTTGGCGGTTTTTCCTTAAAGTTACCGAGTCATTGACTTAAAAAAAAAAAAAAGTTTCTCTTCTGTTGTGTGAGGAATTTTGATATTTTTGTGAGTGGGGAGCTGATATGTTTTTCTGCTTCAAAAAATGGAAGCGACTGAATGTATTGTTTATGAAATTTTGAATTTGCAAGAAGACATTTTTTAAAGATCACACCCCATTCCTATCAGGAAAAAACCTCAAACTTAACTTATTTAACTGAAAGGAATGTCAGTAGAACCTTGTCTCCTATGAGTTTTTTAAATTCTGATACTGATGGCTGAAATTTTCTAATAGAAAACACAGCATTTGGAGAAACCAAGCAAGCAGCCCACACGTGCATTCTTTTTTTTTGGTCTTTTTTCTTTTTTTCTTTCCTTTTTTTTTTGAGAAAGCCATGAGTCTGAAAATCAGGTTTTAATGGGAAAATGGAGTTGGAAAAACAGCTTGAGAACGTTTACATCTGTGTTTGACTGAAGCTCCATCATTATTCAGAGCAGCTTTTGCAATTTAACGTGTGTCACTCTAGTAAATTTAAAAGAGAAGAAAGCAAAAAAAAAAGGTATATAATAATGACCAGGAATGTTTGACAAATCCTGTCTCTAAGAGAAGAAGAAATCAAGTAGTTTTTAACATGAGAACTCAGAAATGCCAGGGGAGTTGTTTCAGGCTGATGTCCATTTAAAGTCAGTAAGATCTGATCTTGAGGAGAAACTGTGAGGTTCTGCATGCTGAAAATATTTTTGAGGCTTTTCCTCTGATAGCGCAGGTGCTTGTAACCTCCTTCCGCTCCTGGGTGAGCTGGGTGTGAGAAAAGATGCTTTTCCTCTTTTTTTTTTGGTTGAAGAAAAAACCTCAATTAACAGAAAGAACCAATCAAGGCAAAGCTGAGGGATTGAATCCAAAGTTTGCGCCGCACACGTGAACTAATCTTTTTCCGACGGTACCTATCGAAAGCTCTTTTAAAAGGCAGGGTCTCACCCAGCAAATCCCTCCCAGAAGGATTTGTCATGAGCCAAGTAAGAAAAGACTTTTGGGGACAGATTCTGGACGGGCTTCTTGTCTGCTGACGACATCATTAACCTTCCAAAAAAAAAAATTAAAAAAAAATCCCATCCGTAGCCTGAATGGGCGCTGGTTTTAATAGGTGTGTCAGCAGAACTTCAGCTTTGACAGGATTAAAAGTCAAGTTTTTAAGTGACGCTACCATGGAAGGGCTTAAGGGCAAAGAGCTGCTGGTTTAGTGCAACCTGTTGGCTGCCGTGATGGGAGAGAGGTGAATCGCTGAGCAGGAGAAAAAAAGAAAAGAGTGTTCTGGAGCGGGGGATTTTATTTTATTTTTTTTTTGAGGCAAAATGGCTGCGTGTGCATTAGGAGCAGCCGCTTTCTTCAGGTCTTGAAATATTAATGATCTTGGCTTAATGTAGTCAAAACCAAAATACAGTGCATGAAATGAAGGCGGAGGAAAAAAAAATAAGCCTGGAATTGCAGAGTTGGGGTCCCCATCTATTCCCTTTTAAACCACCAAGTCTGAAAAGGCAGTGAGAAGGAAGAGGAATTGTCATAAAAATCTTTACCTGCTATAATTTTCCTGCTTTTCCAACAGCAGGTAATAGCCCAAGCAGGATCTTCAGCCTTGGGCTGGGTTGTTTGTCATCCAGGTATTTTCCTGCTAGCGAGATGCTGAAGACAGCCCTTTGTTCAATGATTTCGGTGAACCGTGGTGTTCGCAGCAGTGTCAGGGGTTGCGTGCTTTATTTTAAAAACCTGGAACGAGAGAATTTTGTGATTACGAGCAGTCAGCCTGGGCTTCTCTTGTCTTCTTTTTTTTTCCACGCCTCATCTTTATTTGTGAGATTCTGCCTGTTGGTGTCTGTTCTGGTCATACTCGGGCTTATTTCTGATCTAAGCCGTGACGGAGAAAACCGGGACTAATATCTCAGATCAGCATCTGCCACTTGACTGCTGCTGTTGTTAAAACCTGGCACGAGAGGATGTGTAGCGATAGGACCACTTGCTCACCAGATATTGCAAATCATAGAAAAAAAGGAAAGGTAATTTTTCATGTGAGGGTTTGTTTCTTTTTCCTCCTTTATTGATTTATTTCTGGGCAATTCACATCGCAAGCAGAAATAGCTGTTTTTCACGAGCGGCTGTACCTGGTGGCTTTGGGTCTGTGTTCAGGGGGTGCTTGTCTGATGATGCGGAGAGGTTGGGTTTGACCCCCGCGATCCTTCGTGCGGTTTTGGGTTTTAATCAAAACCCCGAGGCCATCGGAAGCACGACCACAAAGCACCTTGTGAGTTGAACCTTATCTAATTAACGTGATGCACGTAAGCTCAGTCTCCTGAGCAATGAGTTTTTCTAAAAAATGAGGTTTTCTAAAATCCTCCGGTCCGGCGAGCGCGAGCGGGCTGGGATCTCCCCGCAGACGGCACACGGTGTGTTGTAAAGTTAGGACGCGTGAAGGAAATTCCAGAAAAAGACTTTTTGGTTTAATAAGAGTGAAGTAACTTGCTGCCTTATCAACGCTTTAGGAAGATCCCTCTCCCTTTGCTGTCGGAGGGCTTCCCGGGAGAAGGAAGGGGAAAGGACAAGAGGGACTAAGGGAAGGGGAAAACTCGGTGAGAGCCCCTCGTGCGGGGACCCCAGAGGTCGTGGAGGGGATAAATAACGAGATGTGAGAGCGAGTCACACGGTAAATCCTGGGGACAAGGATTATTTTTTTAATGCGTCTGTGTGCTTGAGTGTTTCTCCCCAGCGCTGAAATGTGGTGGGGACCGTGGCCTTCTTATGCTTAGCCCAGGGAGAAGTTTCTAGGCTGACATACCCGATAGCCACTGCTCAGAGGTGTTAGTAACGACGCTAATGAGTTTTTTGCAAGTGATGTCACGGGAGCCGTTGGTGTAAGCGTTGCCTCTGTGCAGCTGATGTCACCGTGGGACTGGGTGGCAGCGGCGCGGCTGCGCTCTGCCCTGGCTTCGAGGAGGGGACCTGGAGTTGCTGATGGTTTTTTTCCTCCCTCAGAGAGAAGGAGCCAAATGAATTCTGCCTTGCCAGGAGGCAGACGTGCCATTTCCTGGCGTGGCGGGCCCAGGGCCTGGCTGCCAATCCCAGTGGGTTCCTCTTCAGACTTGGCAGTGGCTGGCTGTCAGCTGCCATTCCTCAAGTGGTCACAGAATAAACCCAATTGCTCCCCTTTTGTCGTGCTCTCTGTGGGTGTGAGTGCAGGTGGACAGGGGTTAAGCGCCGTGCGACTCCCCGGTAAGCATAAAGAGGCGGCTGATTTTCTGGCAGAGCCAATACAACAGTATCATTTGGTTGGGTTGTTGGTTTGTTGTTTTTTTTCCCACCATCTCCAAGCCAGCTTTTAAAACGGCTCTTGCTGGAATTAGAAATCAGTATCCCCTGACACAGGATTACTCATTAAGAGCGTGATGATTGTTAATTCTTCACCTGGGGCTAAGAGGACATCATTAGATCTCTTTGAAATGTCTCCTGCCTTGATTTTGAGTAAGTAAGCTAGCGATTTATGATCACAGCCTGGGCAAGTAACACTCTCCCTTCCTGTTCTTCCATCTAGCTTGCAAAATCGGATACTACAAGGCTCTCTCGACAGATGTTGCTTGTGCCAAATGCCCGCCTCACAGCTACTCCGTCTGGGAAGGCTCTACCTCCTGCACCTGCGATCGGGGCTTTTTCCGAGCTGAAAATGATGCTGCCTCCATGCCCTGCACTCGTAAGTTGGCCTTTGAACAACTCTCTTCCCCTTTTTATCATCCGTTTCTTCTCCTGTCTTTATTTCACTGTGTATGAAGGAAATACCGCCCGGAGATCCGTGTCTCTAAGAAGTGTCCTCTTCTGAGAGCAGCTTTCAGTCGCTCTTCACAGCCCTTTGCAGGTGCTGTTTGCGTTTTGGCTCCCGCTTCTGGGAGAGAAAGTGTCAGTTCTCAGCCCTGAATTCCTAACAGTGACGTGATTGCACTGACCCTCGAGACCTTACGGTCTAAATAAATCAGGAGACTGGAAGGAGACGGAGCTACAAAAGGGCAGGCGTCGGAAAGAAAATACAGGACTTGTCCAATAGATTGCACCTTTCATCTTTTAAATTCAAGTGCTTGGTTGTGAAAGCTTTTCTCATAATTGTATGGTCTAAGGTAAACAGATAATATTTATAATTTTATTAGATAGTTAATTTGTTCCAAGTATAGCTGGTGACCCTTAGGAACACAAAGGTGTTCCTCCGAAAGGGGTAGATAGCAGCAATAAATCTTAAACTTTAATGAAACAGACACCCGAAGGATGGTTTATTTTATCCTTTGTAGATAAACATATCATCTAGAGCAAATGGAATTTGCTTTAGTTCCACCAAAATGCCTTCAGCAAGGAGAACAAGAGGCGTAGTGTGCTGAGCACACCCACGGGGCTGCTGGAGCGACTCCTCGGCCAATGGGTTGGTTAACGGCTCAAGCAGCTGAAGATCTGGGATTCCAGGCATGCCCTGGTCTTAAATCCTGATCATCTAATTCTTCGGTTTTCACTACTGTAGGAGCAGAGCAGTTTGTTAAATAAAAAAAGAAGTGAAAGGGCTGTATTTTACCAGGGCATATCCATGTGTGGCTTTCCCTGAGAGCGACTGGAAATGCTTCCAGATTTTTGCAGTTCAGCTGTGTATTTTTGTGGAGTGTGTGTGTGAGTGAGAGAAGGCTGAGATATTTCTTTTGTAACGTTTTAATATATTCCAAATTCGTTTTGGAGAGATGACTCACATTTATTGAAATCTTAATTTCTCCCTTACAAGGCAGAGACAAAGTGTGTCCATAACTAAGGCAGTGCTCAGCCCTTGCCCACACCCCCTTGATTCCAGCTCTTCTTCAGTCATCTCCTGCTTTCCAGCCGTGACTTTCGCTGGGTGGTGGTTGAGCAGGTCTGGGCACAGCCAGGAGCAGCTGCTTTCGCTTAGTAGTAAAGCAGAGAGAGGTCTGTGTATCCCTTGCCAAACACTAGCTTGGGGCTGGAGGTCTAATTGCGTTGGGAAACCTTGCCCAAGTGAGGAAGAACGTGCATGTTTTTTTGTAATTTAATTGACACTAAGAGATCTAAAGCTTGACCGTTTTGATAGGAAAAAAAGTCTTTTTTTGCAACAATAAAACTATTGTTCGGAAGGTACAACCTAAATAACGTTAAGTTTCTCATAAAGCCCTGGTCCTAGTGAGTGGTATCGTGACCAAATTGAAATCAAATTAGTAATCAACTGGTTGAATTGAAAGGGGCGTGTGCAGCGGGTGAAGCATGAGGAGCGAGCAAAACGCTTCCAGATGGGGGAATTGTGAGCGAATGGGTATGTTTGCTCATATTGCAAAATGTCCCCCTGCAAGCTTCGCCCTTTTTTGTTAAGTCTCAAATCTGCTTCTGTCACCCTTTCCCATTCGTCAGAGGTCAGGTCAAGTCCCCGATCGTGGTTTTCTATCCTGAAAATATGAAGAGGGAAACAGAGAAGAGGGTGGTGCTGGCTTCAACCCTCATCTCTGCAGCTGGCGAGGAGGACTCGGCAAGCCAGCACCACGACCCCACAGACACCTGGACTGGACATCGGGTCTGCCTCTGGAGGTCCTTTTTCATAGCCTTAGATTTCCTTGTGGCTGAAGGGCTTCTTTTTCTTACATCCAAGGTGAAGGAAGACACAGAGATTCTTTCTGAGCTTCCCCACTCCCCGCTGCGATCCCCTCTTTGTGGGGGAACGTTGTTAGAGCGGTGGGACCTGCACAAAATACTGGGTGTCTCCTCCTGCCCACGCACATGGGGAGAGCGGCAGAAAGTGTTTGTAGGGTCTCTTTTGAAGGAAGCCCCTCTGGAAGAAGGTCCCCGTTTGTCTGCCTTCCCGGACAAGACGTGGAGACAAAAGGGAGCGTAAACATCAAAGGTTCTTGCAGACGGATTCAGAGTCTAATCAGTTCTTACCAGTTGGTTAAACCAGGTGACAAACCCAATTCCCTTGTGCTGACAGCCATAATAATCAGGCACCTTCTTTGTTCATTATGCTCTCCTTAGCCCTGGTATTCTCATTCAGGCCTGCATTTAGTAATCGCTCAGTGTGACGGCGCACTAATGAAGAAATAAAACACGGTATCTGAGATCCATTCTTCTAGCAAAAAGATAGACTCTGCTCCACTGGCTTGTAAAATCAGGTTTCTGTTCACTTGGAGAACTATTAGACCAGGTGAATAAAAGTAACGTCAGGTAATTTGGAGAGAACACCTGGAATGGGCTGTGGATTGATCCTTTCTTTATTATTTCTAAGCACTTTTTAAGATGAAGAACTTCAGCCTTCTTAGGATGTGTTTTTGTAAAGCTTTGACCCTTGGCTATTGATTTCCTTTCGTAGTAAGCTGGCTGGCCTTGGCGCTCTTCTTGCCTTCCAGGTTCGGGGAGAAAGCCTGTTAGGACTTTCCATTAGCCTGATTGTGCTCATGACTGAAAGGGAGTTGGAGAATTCCCCTTCCTTTTCCTTTCCAGCAATTCCCATGGCAAGCAATAAAAGCAACGCCTCCTTCCTGATGCGTCCAGAGTTTTCTTATTCCGTAACACCACTCGTCGTCCGAGTTGTAAAAAACTGTGCCTAACCTTCAGGTGAGCTGGGCACCCGATCTAAACAAATACCTCAGACTCCCGTTTTTAGCCTTTCCCTTTCGGATACGTCGCAAAAATAACGTTAAGTCGAAGGTTCAGACCTTGGTTAGATCCTGGCGCTTGCTGAGAGGGTGGGATTTCCGTAAGGTCTGATGGAGAAGAAATTGCCTCGTCAACAAGGGGCTGCAAAACAATCGGTCTCAATCGTGGTCCTCGTCCAGGAGTTTCCTTCTCCGCAAGGAGAATCCTCCATCGCCCGGCGCGGGCAGGTGCGCCTCCCACCCAAGTGCCCTCCGTTAATGAGTCGAGTTCTCTGACTGTTCCTTCACAAACAATGCTCACATTATGAGCGAAAACGGGACGGTTTTGTATTGTTTGTGTTGTCTGTTCGATCCCGATTATTAATGATTTTTAATTGGGAGCCCTTTACAAAGGAGAGATTACCAGCGTCCACTGTCCAGCTTGAAATTTGTCTCAGTAAATGACCCTGAATAATTCAGTCCGTTGTGCCACCCAAACAGCGACCGACTCGCTGATATTTTGGCGTGGCCTGAAATATCTCTAAAACGGTTGCGTTTAAGCCAGTTTATACCCGGAGAAGCTTAGAGATAATGAGAGAAAATTCAGTGCGAGGCAAGAGAAAAGTGCCTGCTTTTAAAGGGCTTTCTCCAGTTTAGGTTATCAAGAAATCGAAAGAGCCTGACTTCAAACAGCAAACATCACTTACTTGTCTTTACATTCGCCTCTTCTAATTGAATTTAGTGCACTGCTGTATTTCCTCCAGAAAGTATATTGTTTTTAAATTACCATTTCAGTGCTATTACTCAAGGCTCCTGCTTCTAATGCTTTCTGACAGTTATCAGCATAATGAACCATAATGAAATGATGAGCAATCTACGGTGGAAACTCAACGTGGATTCCACTAGAGCTGTGTGACTGCGTTGTTAAAATTTGAATGCGCATTAAAATAACACTGTCCTTATTTGTTTCCAAGGTCAAGGCTTTAAAAAAAGGTCTGCGTGGTCTAAACACTTCCAATTTTGTAAATGTTGCAGCCTAATACACGCCCTCAGCGCGGTCCTGCGTTGCATTTAATATATCTCGGAGATAAGTATTTGACCCATATTTTCCAAAAAGGATGAATTTACCTACCTAATAACTGTGCCTGCAAATGAGTAATTACCCAGGAGCCGATTATTTGAGCCTATGTTCATTAGGATTGCTTAGACTTCTGAATAAACAAATGCGCTCTTTTTTTCCTTCTACTTAGCTTGAGCCTCTCCTGAATTTCCAGACAGACGCCGATTATCTCTCTTCTGACTTTTAGAAGAAAGAGAAAGTAGGGGCCAGCGCGTGGCCGTGCTGGCTAGTGTGTTGTAGGTGGCTTCGCGCTTCTTTCTCAGGGTTTGCTCGCTCGTTCTGGTGCTGCTGCAACTCTCTGTAGTATGTGAAGTGTGTGCCAACACAGCCTCCGATCTTTAGAAGTTAAATGCACGACATAATTTTTCCCCTTCTTTATACACGCGTCCGTACCTTAAGTAAATTATTTTGGTCTTAAAACACCACGTTGTTCGCTCCCGTCAGAAAGCTTTCCGAGGTGCGGCCTGGCAGCTGCACGAGCAGAGGGAGCGGTGGGCAGGCTGTAGGGAGAGAGAATGATTTTTTTTCTTCTCCGCGCAGGCTGGGAAAATAGAGCATCCGCCGCTGCCAGAGCGAGAGAAAGGGATTGTGAGTGATGGGAATCTCAAAGGAGAAGGCTGTCTCCCCTCGTCTGCGGTGACGGGCTGAAGGAATGGAGAAAATGTTGAATAAGGAGGGGAGTGGCTATGGCTCGAAGAGAAGAGATGGGAGTAATTTGACAATGCGTGTTTGTAATCAGCAGACTTAAAATTGTCACTCCTTCAAATAAAGCAACTGTGTATGAGCTGTCTTCTGATTTTTTTGGCCAGAGCCTTAAATTAACAGAGACATTCACTCCATTAAGTGGGGGCTTTGATTTGGTTAGTCAGGACCCAGTTCTGTAGAATCGTTGGAAGCAAATTAGAGGGTGAACAGAATGAGAAATTCAGCGCTGGGGCCAGCGGCAGAGCAACTTATTTTTCTGGCTGG